CCCACAACCGCGTCTGCCAGTGCCAGCAGGGCTACTACTCCGAGATGGAATTCTGCGTCAGGCATTCCGAGTGCCCGCTGGGCTATGGAGTGAAGCAGCCGGGTGAGTACCCAGCCGGGCAGCGCCGTGCCCGCTCCTGAGGCTCCTCTCCCATCCCCAGACCCCTGCCGCAGCCAGAAGTCAAGGAGAAACACAACGGCCGATGGTTGCCCGTAGCCTCACCTGTTCCCTCCTGGCTCAGCCCCTCAGGGCTGGTTTTTGCTGCCATGTGAAGCTGCTCCCGGCTTCTTTTCCAAGGAGTGATTTGGTTTGGGTTTCCCCCCCCGGCTTTTGCTCTGAAAGGCTTTGAAATCCCTCAGCATCGCTCTTAGGTGGTCCTGGTCCCTGCTGCACAGGCAGGGGCAGGTCGGGAGCCCCCCGCCCCCGGAGCAGCAGCTCACCCTGCCCCGGCTCCAGGCAGGTGGGGAGGTCCCAGCAGCTCCTGCACCTCCACCAGCTCCTGCACCTCCACCCGCTCCCCCACCCCCGCCGGCCCCCCTCCTGGCAGGCAGGTCGCCAGGGAGCAGGGAACACGAATTGTCTGGGCTGAGAACGGCTGCTCATGGCACAAGGGCAGGGCTGGTGAACGTGTGTAGCTCTGGGGCCGGGTTTTGTTGGATTTATTGAGCAATTTGGAGAGGCTGCATTAAAATCCTGAAAGGGATACATGGCCAGCTTCCCAAACAGCAAAACCAGCCTTGTTTTGGCTCGTGTCTGGGGGAGATTCACAGCTCTGAGACTCCATCCCCTGGTGAGACAGAAGTCATGAGAGAATTTAGGGGGGTTATTTTTCCAGTTTCCTCAGCAGAAATTTGCCTGGTCTGTTTGTGTTGCTCCTCTTGGTACATGTGCACATTGTCTGAAAATAGGAGTGACCTAGGAGCAGGTTTCCTCCTGCTCTCCCCTGAATCACTGAGGTCTGGGCTCTCTGGAAGCCACAGCTGGGTAGAGTACAACAGTGTGGGCAGCATCAGCAAGACCAGCATTAACTTGCTTCATGCTTTGAAGTGTGGAGGCTTTTGAAGCGTGGAATCTTTTGAAGTGTGGAGACTTCTGAAGTCCTTCCACGCAGGGCACAGAGGAGCTCCAGGCTCCCAGCCAGATGGAAGAACAACCTGTTGTCTTCAGCTGGTGCTCATGCTGTTAGGATGAGGGTCTGCAGGCAAGGAGGGGTTATTCCCTTTGGCATTAACCAGCAAATCTGGCTGGAGGGCTGGCTGGAGGATGGAGGAGCCATGTCAGCGAGCTGGGGCATTTAAGGAGAAGCTGTTATTTCTGTTATTATCATTATTTATTTCTTACCAATGGCCTCTCGTGTGGGGAGTGATGGTGCCTCAGCCCAGACCCCTGGGCCCCACAGCAGGGACCGAGCACCCAGGGTGGGAGGGCAGAGCCCTGGGGCTGGGAGCCCCTGTGGGTGGCCAGGGGTGGTGTGGAGCCTGTGGCCAGGGGGCTGGGGACAGAGCTCTCTGGCCTCCAGGCTGGGTGGGTGCTTGGATCCGTGTGCTGCTCCTCAGGGGACAGGAGCTCCTCTGGCATTTCCCCCTTGCAAATTCCAGCTCAGGTGCTGGGCTGGCTGGGACTTCTCCTGGTAAAGCCAAAGCCAGGGCCTAAAGCAGGTTGCAACAAGTTCCTTCCTCTCAAGGGTTGCCCAGGGCAGTGGTGGAGTCCCCACCCCTGGAGGGGTTTCCAAGCCGTGGAGATGTGGGGTGAGGGACACGGGGCAGTGGGGACCTGGCAGTGCTGGGGGAAGGGTTGGACTCCAGGAGCTCAAAGGCCTCTTCCAACCCAACCAATTCTGTGCTTGTAAGGTAGGAACCTTGTTCTGAACAAGCTGTATGGAGAGGAGATGGAAGGGATGCCAAGTGTGCTGCTGCCAGGGCCATTCCCTCTTCTCCCACGGGATGTACAAGACACCCTGGTGCAATCTCACCCTCGTGGCACTGTCCCTGTGGAACAGTGGCAGGTCTGGCCTGGAGCCTGGGTGGGAAACTGCAGAAGCAAGTGGAGCTTTCACCTTCTCAGTGACTTTTGCTTTCACTTGGCCAGGAGCCTCCTGACTGCTGTGAATCAAAGGGCTGGTTTGGCACTCGGCCTACCCACCATCCCAGCTGGTGTCTCCCAACCAGGTGACCCTTTTCAGCAGCAGATAAGATCTCCTTTTGTGCCTGGAAACTGGTGGCAACTTATCAGCCCATGGCACTTGCTCTGGCCTGGGAGCTGAGTGGGGGAAGTGTTGCTCTTTGTCCCACAGGAGGACATGCACTTCCCAGGGATCACAGCAATGGTCATTTCCAAAGCATCTTCCTTGTGCTCATCCTGTCAATTTTTTTTCAGGGATCTTCTTAATGCTTATAAATATCTAAAGGGGGGCGGAGGGGGGCAAGAGGCTGGGGCCAGACTCTGCTCAGTGGTGCCCA